GAGGAAGTGCTTTCGCGTGAGCTATAAGAAGAGCAAGAAGCGTGGGGACGAGTGTGTTCTCAGCCTATAAATAATCGGAATATACGACGTCATTTATGACGTGTATACCCGTATCATAAATTATGCAGCGAGATGTCGCGAGTGCATTCTGATTCCGCGATGCAAAGGGCATTGCGGAAAAGCTGATCTCGCGTATGTGTACGGCAGCGTCTTCCCGGCGCTATTATTAAATATCGATCTGGTGCACTGGCACACAACAGGTGGTGTCGCTCACCTTACATCCGCAAATCGGCAAGCGCGGCGTCGGATAATTTCGCAAATTAATTAACAGAAAATTAAATTTAATGCAAATCCAAGAGGAGAAGGGCCAGCTGTGCGAGCATCAAAAAGGTGCGAATATTATTTTAGCCTTTATTCTCTCTAATGATTAAGTAATCGTTTCGACTGTAATAAGCCTTCCTCGGTGCAGTTTCAGTGATAATTAAGATTTCATCGTACACCAAAGTGAAAATAAAAATAAATAGTAGGTAAATAAAAAAATATATAAATTAAATTACAAGGGCTATATTAAATACATAAATATCACGTATGTTAATTATATTTATGTTCATTATTAAATAACTTGTTAGTTTTATTTTTACTTTTATGTGCGTTACGATATACTCTCACTTATTACATGATTCAAATTGTGCCGAGTAAAGGCTCATTAAAGCCGAAACATTTACTTAATTATTCGCGCGAGTCAGTTATTACAGAACTAGAGAATAACATTCGTAACTCTTTAGCGCTCGTACAGTTGGCCCCCCCAGGTCGAAACGCGTCCCAGCCGTCAGCTTTCGAAAATAATTAAGTTTCGGTACTTTATTTGTTGCATTAAATTACTACGTTCAACGTTCTGAATACTTTGAACATCTTACTGGTGAGAACTGCCAAGTTAACGCTTATTTAGCACAAAGTAATTTCAATATAAAATTCAATACGAAAAATAAAATTAGAAAATTTTTAATTATTTTCGAAAACCGACGATTGGGACGCTGTTTCGACCCAGTTGACGTCGATTCAACGTTCTCCGTTCGGCCCTCTTCCCCTTTTAGTTTTCTCAAATATTTTTGTTTAACGAGAGTCATTCACGAGAAATCGCTCGCCTTTATGCACCGCTTTATCTCTCGCACGCTGTATCATCGCGACGATAAGAGCGCTCGGGGAATGCACTCGCGGGGACACGCGGTTGCGCCGTGCCGCATTTCTTCGGGCGTGCATTTCTTTGGCGCGTTTGGCACGCGAACGGTGCACTTTCACTGTACGGTCAATGTCATCGGAAACCAGTTTTGCAACCGTTCATGGCGCACCACCCGACGCCAGCTGGTTCCTGCATGCGAGAAAGGTTACAGGAAAGAAATCCCGAACTCGTTTCGGAAGTACTTTCTCTCTGAGCGCGCGAACGATCCGTGAAGCGTTCACGGTTCCGATTTCCTCAAAAACTGGAAATTATCTGTTATCGTATTAAAAAATATGCAACACGAGATAAATTACAAAGAAGCGCGTTATATCAGATAATGGATCGATGTCAAGAAAATGATTAATAGCGTCGTTCGCGGAATAAGTTAAATGATATTTCTCATTGCGGAGAGCGCGTTTTTCCTCGTAAAAGTACCTTAAGCGTCGACAATATACAATATTTGAACTGCAGAAAAAAAGAAATAATATTGCATAATATGCAATATTATTTCTTTTTTTTCTGCAGTTCAAAAACTTAACTTATGCAAAAATAACTAATTTACCTATTGAAATGGATTAGCATGTGGAAAGAAAGTTTCGTTTCAAGACAAATGGGCGAACCGAGACTGAAATCAATTCGAAGCTTAAAAAAGAACCGGTAAAAAAGCTAGTAGACTGGTGATATTATTGATTATAGTCGCGTCATTTTCATATATAATACATAATATGTCATAATAAAAGTGTCATCTTGCACAGGAAGACTGATTGTCGCTCGCTATGAACAACATCCGAGCTGCTAGAGATAAAGCTGTAATCAGTGTTTATAATGACCTGATAATAAATCATTTGTGCTCGAACATTCGTCGATGCGCTAAAATTCCCGCTATAAATATACGCTATAAATATACGCTAAAAAGATATTGGTATTTAATTGCCCTTCGTTTTATACATAAAGCCGACTGGTTTTATCTTTATGCGAACTTTAATCGTGTGGAAGAACGTTGCGATTTCATAAAGCCAATTTCAAATTTAACACAAACTACGAAGTGAAAATTTCAACTGCCAATATCTTTCTGAGTATGACAATGTTCTGCTATGTGGTCCGCAACTTATCCTGGTATTATTTTCTGCGTGAAAGCCAATCATAAGAATTACACGCGCAAAAACTATTTTTTTTTTAAGCAGTTCGTTGTATCATACGCTCGCGTGCGCGGTTCAGTGCGACACGCAAGTTTCAGCGCGTCACCTTAAAATGTAAGATCATCGCAACTTTTATTGTACAAATTATCACGCGGAAGCCGATAACGTATGCTAATGTGTGGTATTCGTAGTTAACGCGAGTGTCTCCCAGACATCCAATCGTATCTTAGTACAAGAAGCTATCCGATTTCCATAAGTTACGGATGTTTATTAAGCAATTATGATAATTATACGGCGGAGATCGAGCGTACGATATAGAAGAAAGACTTCGTCATGCTGAATCCGACTAATGTAACACCTGGAATGCGGTTCAAGGGCGCGGTACGTTCACATGCGATTTGCGAAACGATCTTTCTACAGTCTCACGAGACTTTCTTGTATGACGATACGTCGTAATCGGCGTAATAATGTGCTATCATGTCCGGCCGATGCCCAATCGGTCGGATATTAATGTTACGTTACCGTTCTAGCCGTCGGCTGTTCTTTCCGTCTCTGGCCGAGTTAATATCGCGGACTTTTCAACCCAGGTCCCGCCGATATATCGGCTTGCCCAATCAAATCTTGTCCAATTACTGCAAACCCCAAGTTATGCCGACCACGCGTGTCAGATTACGAAAGTCCCAGATCGAGGTATTCAGATAAGGAACAGTACGTTAAACTACCGTACTCACGGAATATACAACGGTTAATTAAGTTGTTTTTTTTTCCCTACAACTCGACGATATTTACCGAGTGAAAAGTCGATTCCGATGTTTCCACACGTACACGCATGTAGAATGCTACTAGGTGCCGCAGGTAAATTAGTGTGTTTTACGATTAATTATTACCGACAAAGGATCGATAGAGTGAAGAGTCATCTCGGTTCTACGAATGTTTGTAAAAAAAAAGAGGAAAAACTGAATAAACACTGATTAGCGCCGTAAAAACGTTGCACGTGTAGTCTATTAAAAAATGACGTAATTATTTGCAAACACGGAGCTTAAATTCCAAAGTTCACCGGATCTCTGTCGAAAGTATTGTAGATATGATAACGCCATGGGACGCCCCTTTGCTCTTGCGCGCTAGATCGCGGAAACGCGTTTGGAAATGTTACGGCAACGTAAGCGAAAGAAGATATCGATGCAATTTTTTCCTCCTTTTTCGACACCCGATTCTTTCGCAACGTAATCGCCACATCGATCCACTCGCCTCGATCGGAAAGTGAAAATTCGTCTCGCTTAAGGTAGTTAGGTCAAAAAATGACGCTACAGATTTTCTTTAAACTTGCAGCAAAACTAATTTAGATATTAATACGTGTGTGGGTTTGATTTACCGTGTAGCATAGTTGCCGAAATATAATCACTTAAAATCAACTGTTTTTAACATTTCGCTTATCGCCATTGGCTGCTGAGGTAGAAAACCTGACACTTGGACATGTATTTGTCAGTAGCAAAAAATCTATAATAAGGATTAAAACAAAAATCGAGCCAAAGTAATTGGATATTTAAAGAAGTGCATACTCTTTATTTTTTTTTTTGGTTAAGTGTTCTTTGCGTTTTCGCTTCTGCTCTAACATTTTATTATTTTATAAAACGCCCTCTATTTCGTAACTGACTTCCCGTTATAATAATTAAAATATCTCTTCACAATTTATCGCATTCACGATGAAATGCGATGTTGCCACGATCAACGCTCTGCTAACGCCACGCAATTCAGAATACTATTTCATTTTCTGTAACTCTTTTTTATTTTATTAGTTTTCGATATTCTAAGAGAAGCGACAGCGTGTAAAAATCTGCTGTTGAATTTAATATAAAAGAATTCATCGTCTATTGAACTTTATTGATCAAGTCTCATTTTAACTAGCGTAGTTGGGAAAGAAACTACCTTAAGGGGATGCTGGAGTGATTCTGCACTCTTGCACTTTTCTAACCTAAAAACTGTCAGTTCACGGAAACATTTGTGTAATATACAAATTAAATGGCTTAACGTGTACAGATCGAAAGCAGCTTGCTATTCCGGCCAAATGAAAGAACAATATGGCATCACTGAAACTAAGTTTGTAAGTCTAATAAAAAATAATAGTGAGCAACACACATACTACATCTACTGTATGTATGTGTTGCTCACTATTATTTTTTATTAGACTTACAAACTTAGTTTCAGTGATGTCATATTGTTCTTTAATTTAGCCGGAATAGCAAGCTGCTTTCGATCATCTGTACACGTGCCATTTAATTTGTGTATTACACAAATCTTTCCACGAAACAGACAGTTTTAAGTGCAAAAGGTGCGAAAGTGTAGAATCACTCCAGCATCCCCTTAAGAGCGAACGCACGCAATTCAGAATACTATTTCATTTTCTGTAACTCTTTTTTATTTTATTAGTTTTCGATATTCTAAGAGAAGCGACAGCGTGTAAAAACCTGATCTTGAATTTAATATAAAAGAATTCGTCGTCTATTGAACTTTATTGATCAAGTCATTTTAACTAGCATAATTGGGAAAGAACTATCTTAAAAGCGAACGGGTTGAAGGACGTTCGCGCTTAATCGGGCGCGGATCGAGATATCGATGATAAGTAAAAATAAAAGTGTACTCACTATTTTTACGGCCTTCTCGGACTTTGTACGTGAGGTCGGTGAACGCCAGGTCGACCGGCGGCCTCTTCGGCAGATGCGTAATCGTTTTCGGCTGCGCCGGCACGATCTGCAGCCGCACCGCCGCGTTCTTCCTAGGTTGCAACAGAATCCCATTGGAATCGTCCGCCGTCGAGCAATTTCCCTCATGCTTCATCTTTCAAGCGAGATTGTTCCCTGCCCACTTTCGTCCCTTTCACCCGAACGCCGATTGTCTCTCTCCGCGTATTCGCAACGTTTAGAGATCGATGAATCACCCCTCGCGCAGGCAACACACGCGAGACAATTCCGTAACCGGCGATTTATTTTTCACAACCTGCAATATGCGCCCACGTGATGCAATGCACTTCGTAAAACACGACACGTCAGGGATAGCATTTTATTTTCGGGGGAAAGGGAAAATTGTACCCGTACGCTACGGATTGTGCTTTCGAGCTATGTTCGATGGCGCACCTAGCCGTTCACGACTTGTGGAACCAGCCACGTAAAACTATTTATTGTAGAATCTACTTGAGGGGATGCTGCAGTGATTCTACACCTTTTGCCCATAAAGCTGTCAATTCATGAAAACACTTGAGTGATATACAAATTATGTGGCTTTTGTGTACAAACCGACAGCGTTCCACTAACCAAACTGAATCAGAGATTCAGAGACTCAGAGAGTATCATTGAAATGAAGTTTAAAAGCCTAACAAAAACTCTATTCACTCTAATAAGAACCTGTGACTTATTCGAGTGAATAGATATTTTGTTAGGCTTCTAAACTTAATTTCAATGACGCCATGCTGTTCTCTGATTTAGTTCTGTTAGTGGAACACTGTCGGTACACAAAAACCACATAATTTGCATATTACGCAAATGTTTTCGTGAATTGACAGTTCTAGATGCAGAAAGTGCAAAAGGTGGAGAATCACTCCAGCATCCCCTTAAGTTTGCAAATTTGTCTTCTGCAAGAAATTGCGCTTCTTTTAACCGAACTGAAGATGTCAAGGCTTTAAATCCCGCGATTGTGATTTAATATCGTTCAGATTGCGAAAGGTGTTAATGGTAAAAGGAAATCGTTACAACACAGAGTCGAAAATTGCGAAACTGTTACATTTGTATACGATGCGAGTGCTGTCCCGTGAATTTTTCAAATACGATCGTAACATTGGTACCGACTGCGACTGTCGCACCACGGTCGAGACACAAAATTAATTGTGGTTACTAACACGCAATTTAATTCACTAAATTACCGAACATTTATGCCACCGTTGCTCGAATTACTAGGGTGTTTTTTTTTCGAAAAGAAAACTTAACTATAATTTTACGACACTAGCGTATATAAAACATCGAATGCACACAGAAAGATTATTTGCCTTATATAAAAATCTATATAAAAAAAGGATACGGGGACTAAACGAGGTGACAAGTTGCTTTGTAAATTTGAGGACGGCGATTTTTAATCGATCGACGTCATCGTGTTTCGCGAAGGTGAGAACAATTTAGCCGCGTGCTTTACACAATACTCGAAATGTTTGTACAACTACTTTGTTGCTCGAATATTCACTCTACATTGGGAGGTGAGACGTGTTGTTTTAAAAATAATATTTCTTGATTCAGGCCAAATTAATTTTTTAAAACTTCACTAAATGTATCGATAAGCGACTTATGTCGAACCTAAACACAGCCGAGCTAGAGAAATACTGCCAATTAATCATATTTAGTCGTGTCAACAATATTATTTCTCTAGAAGAGTGTACACTCGAGTATCATGCTCCGATAACACCGTGGCAAGAAAGACCGTCGGGTTCTCGCGGAAAGCACACACACACACACACATCGTCCTTTATGGAAACGTTGAAGCCTAATCTACAATGTGCTCTTTGCATCTAGAAACATTCTATTTTACATAAACAAATCAAAACGCTTAAAAACTTTGCCGACAAAGTACGATGTAACTGTATAATGTACAATTTATCAACTTGCACAAATTTTTTAAACGTATTTATTGGCTACAAATTAAAATGTTTCCAGACGCAAAGAGCACATTGTAGATTAGGCTTTAGAAAATCATTCTCTCTTTCTCACTCTGTTCTCACGAAGGTGTGCTACTCCGGCAAATCTGACAGCGAGAAGCACCGGAAATAACAGCCTCCTTCCGAAGAAAAGAGAGAATAATCTCCGTGCACTCTGATTCTCTTACATCGCCCGACTTTGATGTTTTCTTTTTTTCGTTTTCCCCGTTGCTAGAGAACTCTCTCAGCTGACACCGAAGCTAGCCCTGAGACGTAACGAGGCGCATCTCCGGAGTCGGCCCGAAGCGACCTCGCGAGTACAACGTGTGGACGGTAGACGCGACGGCACTCGACCCGTACGGCTGCACGTATCACGGCGCACTCCCGAGTGTGTGCGACGTGCCGCGGCTTTTAGAGATCCCACCGGATGAGCCCCGATAACAAAGCCCGCGGCAGGATGGTTCCGGTGGGGAAACAGTGAGAGGAGCGGCGCCACGTTGCCTTCGCACCTTGCCTCTCGCGATGCACTTGCTGCCGCGACGACTGCAGGCCAACTGAGCTAAAAAGCAAGGCGCGTCGGAACTGCAAGTCCGTCGCCGTTGACCGCCACGTGACGTCCCTTTTGTCTCGCTCCCCTGGCCTTCCTTCCCTTTTTTCATTCCGTGCAAACAAGGAAGAAGGCACTCACAGTCGCACATGGGAGTAACGCTATCGACAGATCAAAGTCTGCGCGGAAGGCGATGACTAACGTAATATTAGTAACATCCGCACCGAGGTAGGTCGGCCATCCTCTTCCATCTTTCCTTAATTATTTACCACGATGGAAAATTAAAAAGCTGTATATACAGACAGCTGTGACTTCCGTTGGAAATCAAGTGAATTCTCACTACTCTCACTATGGGTTTTGAGAAATCAGATAGGAGACTACGAAAACTACCGTTCCGGGATCCGGGGGAAATATAACGTTGTGGAAATATTTGACTTTTGAAGCATCGATATCCTGATTTTATACTCGCAAGATGAAAGCTCAAGAAAAGAAATCTTGAAAAATATTGAACATTGCACTTTATACAAATCACTTTTGTTAAAAAGAACATTGTTTATCTCCGTAAAACATAGTGAATTTAAAATAAAATATAACAATTATTGCAATCACTTGCCGATCATATTTAGAACTGGATTACAATGCATTGCATACCTAATGAGTACAGAGTACATGGATGTTGAACAAGTAAAACAAAAAGTCTTTAAGTCCTGACTAATAAGTTCTATAGTGAGTGATCTAATGTTCTCGGTGTCACCGAGAAAGAAAGAGAGAGAGAGAGAGAGAGAGAGAGAGAGAGAGAGAGAGAGAGAGAGAGAGAGAGAGAGAAATGTTGTTGGGTCTCTCTCTCTTTCTCGGCGACACCGAGAACAATAGGCCACTCACTCCAGTATATTTACAGCTCACTGGCCCAAACATACAATTATGATTATCGAAGATAATCTAAATTCAAATTATCGCGAACCATATCAAACTGTATCTCTAAATTTCCCAATTATAATTTGATCGACTTTCTGTCGTGATCAAAATGTGACGTTTGACACACCCAGAAAAAAGATTTGTTTAAGGTTAATAAATGAGATACGTTGAAATCATGTTTCTTGAAATCTATTAAATTTTTATTTACTTCTACCGAAACATTTGCTAGATTTGAAAGAAATAGATACAAATTCTCTTAGAAATTCCAGTCTCAATTCAAATAAAATCCTGGTCGAGGTAAAGAAATCATTCCTTTGAAATTAAAAGTCTAGTAAGGTCAAACTTCAAGGAAAATTTACATGATTTAAAAGAAACTTTGTTCCGAGTGTAGTCGTTGTGCTGTCATTTTGGCTTTAGTATGACTTCTTGGGATATTGTCATCGCGAGTACCTACTCACGTCAACAGCTTCAGAGACAAAGATACGTTTACGTGACGGAATGCAGAAGAAGAGACAAAGAGAGTGGGAAAAGATTCCTGACTTTAAGTCTACTCAAATAGAACTATGGAGAATACGCTAAATTAGAGAACACAAGACGAAGATATACCGACATACCGATGAATTAATTTGTACGAGACCATTACGGACTAAACGTGCGCGCCGTAATTACTAATGAAAAATACATTCTTTTCTTAGAATATCGACGAAACACACCGTCCGAACTTGAGGCTTTCAGTACGACGACTAATGAGCTGAACCATCAAAGTTAAGGCATCGTAATATCAACGATAATAGAGTTGTCCGAGGAAGCAACTACTCGTAACTATACGTTGTAATTGCGACGAGACGACACCACAGACTTCTATGTGTACACTAGACCGCTAACCAAAATACATTACTCTGAAAAGCATGTACAGAACTTCGCGCATGCGCGCCGCATTGGGAGGCACCAATGTATGTATGTGTATATGTGTGTGCCGGCGTATGTACACACCATTATAGCGTCCTTGTACGCACTGGTCCACGTGGCAATATTCTCCGATAGGAAAATATTTAGCAAATTGTGTGACAAAATCTGGCTGAAACTTAGGTCGCTGGAATTATGCGTACATATTTCGAACAACATATGCAGAAATGAAGGCCTTTCATTAAATATTGATAATTATTTGCGCAATATATTTCTAAATAGTATGTGAGAAAAACAGTTGCGTGTTGGCGAATCACCTTGGCAGAATATTTGCACAGTTAAATTGCTGTTGTGTTACGACGAGCTGCCGCTACGAGGCGTCTCATACTCGTAAGTGAAATTCAGGAGACGAGATAAAAGAAGGCCCAGCTGTAAATATGTCCCACGCTAAATCTTTCTTAAACACTTATTATACGTAATTGTGTTGCTGGGAAATTTTGCTTCTAAAAGTGGAAATAATTATGCATGATTTATCCCCTCAATTTAGACTATCAATTTTCGGGCAAATATCGTTTCAAAAATTTATTCCTACAAAACCGCTGCGTTTTGGCAAATCACTTTAATACAATCATTGTAAAATTTCCTCCTTTTGGACAATGCAATTATTACACAATATTTGAGACATTTCCCTATCGGGGGTGATCACGTGATCACGTCACATGACCATTTGTCCCCCATGTAATTGTACATAAAGTTTGGAGACAGCTTTTATGCATGATCTATAGGGGATTTAGCAGTCTAGTACATATAGGAGTCTGTGGAGACGACACTCTGGAAGAAAACTTCCAATAGCTGTGTATTGGTTTGTACCAATGGAATTGGTTTGTACGTCATACACTCATTTACGATGCAGAAGGGATGTAGAGCGGCCATTGTGTCGCCGTTAAAGGATTGATCGATTGACGCAAGAACGCAATGAATGATGGTTTAATAGAGGTCTAAAGGCCGCGGCACATTAACAATTATAATTATCACGATGAGCGATTTTCTAGTCGATACTGTTGAATTATTGTTACTGCAGTCGTTGAAACGACTTTGCCACTTTAGCGCGTAATGTTATGACCTTGAGAATCATAAAGAAAGCCCCTTCACGAAATCTCTCTGGCCACTTTTGTACGCCTCTTATTTCGTTAAAAATAAATACACACAACTTGCTGCTGTAGACTCGTTTGACGTTGGCCAATGAAACCCGGTGTACTCCGCACAAATATGTAATCACCGGAAAACTGAAAGTATCGAATACGTTTACATGAGGAAAATATGCAATCGAAAGTATGCAAATACTTCGAACATTTTAGCAACATAAATTCGAGTATCCTATTGTTTTTAAAAAATATTCTCAACGTTACGATTGCATAAAACAAATAAATAGATAAGTAAATCAGCAAAACGTATCCTCTAAAACGTAAGGATAGAACAAAATAATGATTTTTTAAATTTTCTTTTAAATCACTACAATTGTACGGTTCATATTGTACCCGCATTTGATCATCGTAAAAGTCATCAAACCGGAAGACAAAGCGCGAGGCCAAAGTCTGAGCAAAAATGCACATTTGCATATCATTTCAGAGGCAGGGCCTTGTCGAAAGATTGCGGTCGGTCAATTCGATGACGCGTGTCGAATTGTTGTGCGACTTTCTGCTCAACGTTATTGTATGCGCGCGTGTAATACAAAGTGGATTAAACACAAGATGCACTGTACTTCGCGGCACGGACCATTCTTCTTTTATTCTTGTTGAAGCTACTCGAAATGTTTACGAATTGTAGTGAAAAGCTCCTGACGAAATAATATAATATATCGCCAATCGCATTCAATTCCGTCGCGCTCTTCGTTACTCTCTCGTATTTATGTAACTAATAATAGCTCATCACGCAATAAGAATTATGAGATAATCTCTTCCTCGTCTTCTCAGAGTAGATATGAAGTGCAACCAACTTTTTATTTCGGTTCGCGCGAAGACAAGATTTGTTATTTCGAAAGGAAAAAACCGAGAAACCAGAGACAAGCTTTTAGTTTTGACTTTTAATTTCTGATAAATTTAAAGCGGAAATGCTGAGCACGTCTGTCTAGTCGCGAACGTGACACTTTTGCCGATGACTGTCTCTTTTTGTTGGAAACCTCAGAATAGAATTATACGCGGAGAAGCACGAAGGATTACAAAATCCGCGAAGGAAATTAAATAATTAAAATTAGGAACATAGACAAAGTGTAATTTTCTCTTTCGTTTCCTGAAAAGCAGCGGTATAAAACTGCAGATTGCATAACAGCTTCAGAAAGCAGAAGAGCAGAAAAGCAATTTTATCGTAAATATATAATTACTCTAATAAAGCTGATAAACGTTATTAATTTCGGCGTGATTTTATCGTAATTAAAGCATTGACTTGTGCTGAGGAATTTAGAGGAAAGTCCTCTGTTATGAGATAGGATTCTAACACGAGATAGCAGGTTTCCAACGTTCAAATTCAATCACGAATCATTTTTCCCAACGATTACAGGATCTACCAATCAATTTTCCACTAAACAGAGATTTCACTCCATGCAACGGCAATAAATTCATGGTAGAGCCAGCAGATGATGCCTATTAATTTAGCAGAAACTCTGCCATCTTACATTAGGAGCCTATCTCACAATAGAGGACTTTCTCTAGTTATCAGAATCCTTTTATTCTAATAAATATTGATTAAATAACAATTACCATTTATTAGAAAGTAAGAGAAATCTTTGTATATCTTCCGCGCTTTTGCAAGAGTAATTTCAAGTAAATCTTGAAGTAAAGTATTTTTATCAGACTCCGGAAAAAGCATTATCTTAGTGTGTATGCATGTGTCAATTAAAAACCTTTCAGATTATAGGTTTCTATTATATTATTGCGAGATGTAGTCAATGGAATTACATCGTAATCAGACGGTTAAGAAAAAGTGATCCTTGATCTCTATAAAATATTCTAAACAAAAAAGATAATGATATAAACTAGATCACGTTGCAGTAAGAATGATTAATAATTATGTACGATAAAGAGTTTATGAATTCTGAAAGGAATAACTAATTTGTTTGTATCAACTTCAGTCAACTGCTTCAGACGACTGCTAACACTATCGTTGTTTCTGATCTTTCGCAACTGATGTAGCAAATGTAGCGAAAGAATTTCGTATTTTTACAAGGGAACACATCGCAAAATCTCGACGACGCGATAAGCAAGGCGTCTCGGTGAAAAGAAAAGAAGTACGGTTAAAGTACGAGCGAGAGTTGTTAGAGGTCACATTTTCATGAAAGTAAATTTCCGCGTCGACGGACTATC